GAAAAAATGCACGGTTAGCGAGTTATGAGCCAAAAAGCAAAAAACTCCCCTTTCGGGGGATGAAATTAGGGGACGCGGAAAAAAATTTTTGGGGAATATTCTTGATTCGTTATCAGCACCCCTGACTCTACATAAAAAAAATAAAACCCGACCACCATTGAGTTTTCCTTCTACAATCTTTGTTTCCTGGACTATTTATGTACTATGCTCCACACCTCAAAGTCCCACCACGTGACCACGTACGGAACGCAGTCTTTTGAAAATTTGGCATTTTTCAGGTTATGTATCTGTCAAAGTATAGTCAATGAAAGAAATAATATTTATAGTGTTACCGCTTATGTTTAAGCGTTAAAAGTTAATAAATCTTTATAGTATCACTATAACCATTGAGTAAAGAAGTTCTATAACAATGGTTGGTTTAAGAATTTAGGAATATAAATACTCCATTTAATGAAATTCCAAAGTGTAATGTGCAATATAAGTTATATTTTTGTGCATTGGGTCCACATTTCTCCATAAAATAGTTTTAACTAAACAGGATTTATTAAAAAAAATCGAACTTCTCTATTATAAAATAAGAATATCTATATCAAAGGTAGGTTAATGTATTAGAACAAAAAATATCATCTATTTGTATTTTAAGGTTAGAAAAATCTATTTTGACCAAAATAAATAAGTGGATTATTTGAAAGTGTGTTAATATGGTCATAAATAAATATAGGTATACTAAATAATTGTTGAATATGGTTAAAATTAAATTGAAGCTTTTATACTTCTAACGACAAAACTTGTGCATACCTCTCGGCATACCTACTTTAAGTTAGATTATAAGAAAACAAACAATTTTTAGAGAAACTTGCAATGTGAAAATATTTAATACTCCCATGACATGTGATTTATTAAAATAATAAAGTTATAATGATTTTTGATGTAGATCAAATTCAGTCGAAGCTTTTTAACTATTTGTATTGACAAAACTTTATGTAGGTACACTTTAAGCTGGATAAGAAAAACTATCACATTTTTAAATACCATATTATACTGTCTTTTAAATGATCCAAAATACTTGTTTATTTTGGTCAAAATAAATTTTTCTAACCTTAAAATTACAAAATTAGATGATATTTTTGTTATAATATATTAACGTACCTTTAATACAGATATTCTTATTCCATAATAGAGAAGCTAGATTTTTTTTAATAAATGCTGTTTACGGCCATTTCAAGCGCGCGAAACGCACGATTTACAAAACTGTTTTTATAAAAAAAAATTGTAGATTATTTATTATATAATATTTTGGCATCAAAATTGTCAAAAATATTCTTCTTTTATTAGGTTATACATTAGATAAAAAAAAACTCAAGAAATATTTTATGAAAGTAGATATAATTTTAATAATTGAAAGGTGTGGACGGGACAAAAAAAAGATTTATCTTGTCCCGTCCATCCCTGTCAATTATTGAAATTATCTCTACTTTTATAAAATATTTCTTGCGATTTTTTTTATTTAATGTATACCCTAATAATAGAAGAATATATTTGACAATTTTGATGCAAAAATAATACATAATAAATTAGCTACAATTTTTTTTATAAAAACAGTTTTGTGATTTGTCCCGTCCATCCGCTTGAAATGGCCGTTTAGTTAAAATTATTTTATGGAGAAAACCAGATATTTGGACCAAATGCACAAAAATATTACTTATTTGGCACCATACATTTTAGAATTTCATTAAATGCAGTATTTATATTCTTAAATTCTTAAACCATCCATTGTTATCGTAATGTTATAAAGATTTATACATTTTTAACGCCTAAACATAACACTAGCCGACAGCCATTTTGGTGCAGGGTAGACAACAACTTTTTTAGGGTAATTTGAGTACGCAGAATCCAAAAATGACCATCATTTTGCTCAATCAGCTCTTGTTTTTGCGATGTAGACAAAAAAACATTTTTTTATATGTGCACATTCAAATGCTTAAATATATTTTTTTAAACTTCTAATTTAAGCAAGGATAGTTAGTAATGTTGCTATGGGTCTTTATTAAACTGTAAAATAAATACCATATAAATTGATAATGGTATTCTCTTTAAAAATCTTGCTTTCATCGAAAGAAAATCGATTTTTTGGCCAAAATTCGGAAATTTTTAAAATTGAAAGTGATACAGCATGATGAATTTTTGCCCGATTTAAATAAAATTTACCCTATTTGTAGCTCTATTTATCTACTTTATTGTGATAAAATTTCAATGCAATCAAATAAAAATTGGCAACATTGCAATAAAATCAATCAAAATTGGTTACTACGTGTACCACTTAAATAAACTCCGTGAATAGCTATTAATATTCACAGAGCCTATTTAAGTGGACAATTTTTGAGCCTAGGATTTTAGACCTGATTTTAAGAATGTCTAATAAGATGTCAAAAATATTATTGTTTTTTTTTCTATTAGTTTTAGTGTATGAGAGTATGAGTAGAGTATCTGTTGCTGCTCTCAATACTCTACTATCATACACTCTGCCGTGCTAAGATAAACCCCCGTATCTGCAATATGAAATAATAAAGGACAAAAGATAGTTTTTATTGTTTTTAACAATAAAAATGATCTTTTATTTAATATTGCAGATACGGGGGTTTAGCTTAGCACGGCAGCACTACTCTCATTCAATTTTTGATTGCATTGAAATTTTAACACTATAAAGTAGATAAATAGAGCTACAAATAGGGTTATTTTATTTAAATCGGGTAAAAATTAATCATGCTGTATCACTTTCAATCAGTGGCGGCTCGTGGGTGTACAGGAGGGTGAGGCTACATAAGGTTAATTTTGTCTAAATACGAATAAATTTCCACGTCACCCGGGAGGTATTATTCTGCGACGCGTTGACCTTTTTTAAAATGGAGCCGATAGCACTACTAAACCAAAAAATAAACTCTAAAAAACAAAACAAACAAAATATCACATCAAAGACTAGTTTTAATCCTAAACTTAAAAATATAGTCTTAAAAAAGTTAAAAATAAATAAATTAATCAAAAAATAAAACTAAAAAGTCGACCCCTACCTAAGTATTAAAAAATATAAAATACTATACGTCTATCTTTTAAGATTGAAAATTTATCTATTATTTGGTCGTAAAATTGTGGGTCTGCAGTGAGATTTAAAAGTAATTCTAAATTTTCAAACCGCGTCTCTAATTGAAGAATTATGCAATCTATTATTTCAAAATATAAAATTTGCTTAATAAAAACTGCTAAATCTACCTTAGTGTGTTTCCTACAATAATTAAATAAGAAATTTTACTAATCGAGACAAAAACTATAAAAGATCAGCCAAAAGTTTTAAATAATTTAATCTGAATCAAAACAATAACGTGCTCTACAAACGCTAAGAGAAGACTGGCAACCTTCTTTGTCTCCGCTGGCATCCCACCATAAACGGACCACCAATCAGAACAAACCAAGCTAACTAAATTTCGCCTCATCTACGGTGTTTATTCGCGAACTTACGGCGATATTTTTGTTGGCGAGTCATTTTCGCTTTCAAGGGGTAAATGGGAGCTTCCGAGGCTGTGAAAATTTGGCCTCTGTCTGGCGTCTCAACGATGCACGTTAACTTGACGCGCTTTGCGCCTGGATTTTTATTTACGCTTAATATGATTGATTGGTTTTTTACTTTTTATTGGGTAGAACTGTTGTAAAAATACACTTGTAATAGGCAAAAATATAAATACAAAAAGTCGTTCGTTCCTTCATTTTAAGGGTGAGGCGCGGCCTCAGAGGCCTACCCTGACGAGCCGCCACTGCTTTCAATTTTAAATATATCCGAATTTTGGCTAAAAAATCGATTTTCTTTCGATGAAAGCAAGATTTTTAAAGAGAATACCATTATCAATGTATATGGTATATTTTTTCTAGTTAAATAAAGACCCATAGCAACATTACCAACTATCCTTACTTAAAATAGAAGTTTAAAAAAATATATATAAGAATTTGAATGTGCGCATATCGAAAAAAATGGTTTTTATTCTACATCGCAAAAACAATAGCTGATGGAGCAAAATGATGTTCATTTTTGGATTCAGCGTACCTAAATTACCCTTAAAAAGTTGTTGGTTGCCATGCACCAAACAGAAATTTTATTTTTGTCGGCCTGTGTAATATTATTTCTTTCGTTGACTATACTTTGACAGATGCATAACCTGAAAAGCCTTAAATGCCAAATTTTCAAAAGTGTGCGTTCCGTACGTGGTCACGTGGTGGGACTTTGAGGTGCGGAGCATAGTACAGTTGTATTCAATAAAAAAGCGTACAAGAATTAGAATGAGAGAAAACTGTCAAAATAATATTATTGCTTAAAACCGGCTTATCACTGACATAAGTCATTAAAATATTTATTATAGGTTATAAAGAGCATTGACGTCGTAGGTTAATTAAATAATATTACAAAAATTATTACCTTTTAATAATGAAAAAAACAAACATTAAAAAAAATTTAATATTTAGTCATGCATCCCTGTTTTTCTATTACTTGAGCCAATCTATTTGGGATGAACTGAATTAAATTTAATACAATATTTGAATTAATATCTTCCCAGCAGTATAGTAGGTATAGTATAGTTGTATAGTTTCCCATAAATCCTCAGATATCTCAAAAAAGCAGCATCCTGTTCAGGGGTGGACATTTTGGGACGACCTGAACCAACTTTTTGGTTTAGTAAATCTTCCTGTTCCCAGCGTTGCTTAATTTTTAATATAGATTTTTTATTTCTATTATACCACAGTACGAATTGACCATTCTTCTTCGATTCTTGATACTATTTGAGCCTTTTTAAGTGACGAGGCATTTTTATTTTCTACTGTCAGTTATATTGACTTAAGTCAGTGGAAAGCCGGTTTTACGCAATAATGTTGACAGTTTTCTCTCATTCTAATTCTTGTACGCTTTTTTAATGAATACAACTGTACATATATTTTTTTAACAAAATTTTTTCTAGGATTTCGATTTGTGCGGGAACAGGATAATGTCCTGCGGAATGGACCACTCGCTGAAGCTCTGGCGGTTGGACAGGGACGATATGAAGGACTGCATCAAGCAGTCGTACAACTGGAACCCGAACCGCAGCACGCGCCCCTTCGACTCGCTCATCGAGCACTTCCCGGCCTTCTCGACGCGCGACATCCACAGAAATTACGTGGACTGCGTGCGATGGCTGGGCGACTTCGTGCTGAGCAAGTCGTGCGAGAACTGCATCGTCTGCTGGAAACCGGGGCGTTTGGAGGACGAGAACCTGAGGAAGGGCGAGACGACGTCCACCGTGATACACAGATTCGAGTACAGGGAGTGCGAAATTTGGTTCGTGAGGTTCGCGATGGATTTTTGGCAAAAGGTAAGTAATTTATTGAGTAATTGTTGGTATAAATGGTGTTTTTTCTTTTATAATCAAATTTTGTAAATACAAAATTGTGACTTGTTTTTGGAATATTTATTTTAATTTTTAGCTACATTTCGTCACCCTAATATAACAAGGTTGTATGTTAAAAAAAAAACGAAAAATTTAAGTCTATGTTTCTACAGGATTATACGTGGCCTAAAAATAATTCTATAGAATGTATATTCTATGTATACATATACGACCCTGTCTCAGTGAAGTTGGCCCAACTAACAAAAATAGTTTTTTGAAGATATTTAGAATATTATACGGTAATTAATTAAAATTAAAACATTGTTTTAATTAAATAAATAACGTTTATTAAATTTTCTACCGTTAAATTGTATTTTTAAGTACCTAATAAAAAAATATTTAAAATTCTCTTACTTATATTGTCCGTAAACCAAAAATTAAGAAAAAAAAATATTTTAAATAAATACATTTTAATTGGAAACTACCACTGTGTAACATCTCCTTTATGGCTTATTACTGCCTGTATACGTCTCGGCATGGTGTCAACCAATTTTTGACAATCATCCGGCGCACTATGTCGTAAACAGAGTGATTAGGTGACCAAAAATATTTTTGTTGAAAAACATATTGAAAATGCTTTTTTGTTAAACAAAAAGATAATTGTTATTAAATTTAACCATTAGTTAGGATTAAAAGAGGCTAAGTACAGGGTGAACCACTTAAGATATCCCATATGCCTATCTCAGAAACAACTGTAGTCATGAAAAATTTGTAGGGAACAAAAATATTTGAATTAATACATATTTTTTGATGTTGTAATTTAATTTATACAGGGTGTTCAATTTTTTCTGGGACGATACCAATTTTATTATTTTCGATTTGAGTATGAGTATGAGTATAAGAGACGTATAACCAGCCCCATTTCCTCTTGACTCTCGAACCCCGTACAGGCCTATGTTTACTTACGCCGATTTTTGTTCTTCCCCAGCAACTGCACGGCTTCACCCGTGTTTGCTGGGTGCGAATGTCCATTGCGTTACGTACTGTCCCCTATTTGGGGCTCGAGAGCGAGAGGCGAATAGTTATAATAGCCATTCCCGGGTTCGCCGAGCCTATGCTATACGCTCGGTGGGGTATGGATGAGGGACGGGAGGGAGTTGGTTTTTGGGGGACAATTACGCCGACTTAAAACTAAGTACGACGCGGAATCCCCCTAGACCAGTCGATTAGTATTACTCCAAACATTTGGGATCACTATTTGGAGTTGGGGAGTTGTTATTTCGCTGCAGGGGTGTAGTTTCCTAGTCGATGTCTTTGTCTTGTTCGTTATTGTCATTGTCCGTGTCCTGGTCAGATAGTTCCTGCCCTTGGTAAAGTGTGTCAGTTGTTTTTAATAATTTTTGTCCCAAGCACGTTTTGTTCCGTCTTTGTTTATCAAATTCCAAAGCATTGCATTTATTCACTAGTCAAACAATTCACAAGCGCGATTATTCTGTTGTCTAATGTTTACAAACTCGAGTTTGGCTATTAGGCCCTTTTTTTTAATGTGTTAGAATTTTGTTCAATGTTAGTTTACTCTGTCAGTCCAGTGTTTATTTTCCGGCTCGATTGGGACCGCCTTACGCATTTGCTGTTGACAGACTTATTGCCCCACGCTGCGTGCCCTTCTTAGGTTTTAAAGATATCCCAATAAACACTTTAACGATACCTATCACCATTAACATTGCCCGTGTAAGAATTTTTAACACTTTTTAATACAATTTTGCAATGATAGTAATTAAAAACAAAACAATTGTTTACAGAGAAAAATATGTTCTTAACATAATCATATTTTAAAGTCATTTAACATTTTCAAGTAAAATAAATGTTATGTTTAATGAAATGAATACGGGCAATGTTAATGGTGACAAATAACGGAAAATGCTTGCTAGGATCTGCCGTATTTATATTGCAGATTTGTATCAGGTCATGCATACTCTTAAAGTAAAACTTATCAGATTATTCCCCTTGCGGATGGCCACCTCCCCTCTTCTCCGACCTCCCCCGTCCGTCCAGTGAAAAGCCTCCAATGACAGGTGGCACCCAAGTCATTCATATCACCCAACACTCCACTCCTCAATGACCGTTACACCATTTTAGCTTGCACTCCATGAAAATGTTTGTTTCACTTATCAGTTCGCACCCCTTTTTATTTAATTATTGTTGGTTTCATCTTTAAACTTTTACGTTTCAAGAGCTCACCCGCACGCGAGTCGCGAGCATTGCTGTTTGTAAGTTTCAAGAGCGCGACGGCAAGATGCAAGATGCGACTAACTTTGACGAACACTCGAACGTGACTGATTATAATTATTATTCGATTTTTACAACTTTTTATTCTACGTACTTTTTTATGTTTTTAATGGCCTATTGCAGAGCTAAAAGGGATTCCGCACTTGTACTCTTATCCTGTTAAAGTTTTCTGTTTAGATACCTTATCTGCCATTCATTTTTCTCAAATCCGTTAGATTGCTAAATTTGGGTATTTGAAATGGATGTTGTTAGCAAGAAAGTTAAGAAGTTATTTTTATAGGCTATAAAAATTAGTTTTAAATTAATATATATTTATTATTTTTATGTTTTTAATTAATTTTAAGGCGCCAGATTTAAAAAAAATCGGAAAATAAAGACAAAAGTTTAAAAAAAATGAGCTCTAATACACATTTTTTGACATAAAATCAAGTGTAGCCAAGTTTCCCAACATTTCCCGCCAAAATCCTTAATAACGACCATTATTCATATATTAACAAACACTTCCACACACAAAAGAAATTGGGGCAACCTGGGGCACCATTACTATTTGCAAAAAGTTTGCTTGAATGCACGTTAAAAAAATGACAAAATTTGAACGGCTATTACTATATATAAAATAAAATATTTTTTTAATTTTTAACGTTATACCTTAAAAGACATTTATTTTAAAGCAATCTACCAAATATAACTCCTGTTAATTATAATTTATAGTTTTAATCGCATATTTACCAAGCGCGAGTTATTTATATAAAAAAATGTGTTTGTGCATTGTTTTAAAATTTTATACGTCACGGACCGTGACTCACGGTCCTTATTAATATTTTATAAATAAACAAATGGTTGTACATTAGGGTGTCCGTTATTTGGGCGATGTGCGAATTTTTTTGCTCGCACCCCCCAAAAAGTTGTAGTTTGGGAAAAAAAAATTTTTGGTAATTTTTTTAGACTTTTTTTTTTTAATTAACCCGTGCCGCAAGAGGGTTAAAGATTTAATTATTGTTAAAATATGATTAAATTTTGCCTTTCACTATAGGCTTACCACTCCACGATTTTTCAATGAAAAAAGTCTGTCGAGTGGTTTTCTTATAGTTCAAACACCGCTGAACCCGAATCTGAAATTCGTTTTTTTTTTCATTAATCGTTTTTTTAGAATAGCCTGTGTCGGGAGTAGGTAAAATCGCAAATCGGATGAAAAATGGGATTAGGCTCTTTTCACATTCAAAGTCCTGTAACGTCGCCAGTTTTCAATAAAAAAATCTGAAAATTGGCATACTTATGGTTTTGACATCGCTGAACTCGAATCTGACATTTTCATTGATGACAGCTGTCAAAATAGCTGTCAAAAATCCCAAAAACGATTTTTTATTAAAAATGCCCATTTGCCCCTGTAAAATTATGTTTGGAACTTGAAATTTGACAGTTCAATCATTTGTACATTTTATTGAGTGATTTGGATTTCGGTTTTATGAAAATAAATAATTCAAAGTGCATCAAATTCAGATTCAGCGCATGAAATAACCATAAAATGGGCATTTTTAATAAAAAAACCGTTTTTTTGGGATTTTTGACAGCTATTTTGACAGCTGTCATCAATGAAAATGTCAGATTCGAGTTCAGCGATGTCAAAACCATAAGTATACCAATTTTCAGATTTTTTTATTGAAAACTGGCGACGTTACAGGACTTTGAATGTGAAAAGAGCCTAATCCCATTTTTCATCCGATTTGCGATTTTACCTACTCCCGACACAGGCTATTCTAAAAAAACGATTAATGAAAAAAAAAACGAATTTCAGATTCGGGTTCAGCGGTGTTTGAACTAAACTGATCGTCATAAAAAACGACGCACCTAGTTTTTTGGAAAATATTTGAAAGCTCGTTATTGGAAAATTACTAAATCGATTTTGAAAATCTTTGAAAATTCTGAATAGCTGATTCTTTGACTCTTATGTCTAATTTTGGGAATACGATATTTTGCACATAGCATTATACTACAGGGTGTTAAACGAAGAGATGCATTTTTTTCGAAATTTCAAGTTATTCCCATTCATAGGGCAGTCGACTTTGATAGTCGTAATACCCCTCCCTGATATAAGTTGGGTAATCCCTCGGAACGTTTTTAAGATTTTGTGGATATCTTGGCTAACTACGATTATATGCCAATTTTTTGAAAATTGTCCTTATTCCCCAGTTTAGTCCAAAAAATGAGCAATAGTGGATTCTTTGACTTACGTCTAATTTTGGGAATACGATATTGTGTGCATGACATTATACTACAGGGTGTTAAAAAAAAGAGATGTTTTTTTCCAAAATTCCAAATCCCCATTCACAGGGCAGTTGTGCTTGATAGTCGTAATACCCCTCCCTAGTAACAGTTAGGTAATCCCTCGGGACGTTTTCGAGATTTTGTGGATATCTTGACTAACTACGATTATATGGCAATTTTTCGAAAATTGTCGTTATTCTCCATTTTAGTCCAAAAAATGAGCAATAGTTGATTTTTTGACTCTTATGTCTAATTTTGGGAATACGATATTGTGCACTTAGCTACATACTACAGGGTGTTAAAAAAAAGAGAAGTTTTTTTTTCCAAAATTCCAAATCCCCATTCACAGGGCAGTTGAGCTTGATAGTCGTAATACCCCTCCCTAATAAAAGTTAGGTAATCCCTCGGGACGTTTTCGAGATTTTGGGGAT